AGACACAGCGTTGTTTCCGCGGGCACAAAGCCAGGTGGCCTGAGCTGGAAGACCGCCTCGAGCAATGGGTTAACGAGCAGAGGACAGCTGGGAGAAGCGTCTACCGTCACCGTTCGTTTGAGAGCAGTAACGCAATGACGAAGTGCACGTGCGCTCTGAACCAGGACTAGACCAGTAAAGTCAAACATGCTTTTGGCTGTTTATAATTTTCACAATGTCTGGTTTGCACTGATATGTTCCGAGTCCCGAGCCCGCACAGATGTTTTACCGCGCCCGCGCCCTATAACCCGGTGCGCCTTTTGTATGTGTTAAATACCAAAAAGACACCCGTAACTGAAGCTGCGCCCTACGGTCGTGGAAAATATGGTATATGTTCCTTAGTAGTACACATTTGTACCAAGTCTTTCTGGTTATGATCTCTTTTACTAAAAAAAAAAACATCCATTAGCAAAGCTATACTTCTCAAAATAGATTTCATAGTTTCACTGTTCACCATTTTAAGCACTGAAATATAGTTTTAAAATAATTTGTTGGATTTTAAAAAATGAACAATAATTACTAATTCATTATTTTTGAAAAGAGAGTGTGACTGAATTTAGTTTTGAAAGCATTAATATTGGGATAACAAACGTCATTCTAATAGCATTTGATAGCTTTCGACAAGGACTATTGATAAGTTTAGCAGGTCTGCGTTGTATTTGAAAAGTAAATAATTGTAGCAAGTACTTTTGAATCTGTATCTGTATGTTTGTCATCTTGAAATAAAAACACCCACACACCGTTCCACAGTGGGGTTGTGGTTAGTGCAGTTCCCTTAGCCGGGCGGACACTGTGCGACTTTTTCACTCGTAGCGCTCAGCTTCAGCTCAAACTGTACGACTTCCTCGCAGAGCAGATCTCACGAGTCATGTGCTCACACTGTACGTCTGGTAGCAACACGTCGGACCTAAAAATATGCTAAAAATAGCAGTTTTTACACAACACGTCAGACTTTTTTGTCTTGTTTTGCCTGTTGTCCTTCGGGAGTGCTGCAGGAGGACACACAGGGATTTATGGGGGTTGGATGAGGAAAACGAAATAAAGAAAGTAAATCTGTGTTTTGTGATCAGTTTAATTTGACATGAACACGACAAACACGCTTTCTTGACAATCTTTGTGAGTAAAAAAACGTGTAGAAATAAAAACGAACAGCGTGTGTTATTAGGGAAAGCTGCCATCGGATGCATAAGCAGCACGTAACTTGGCGACGCGTTTTCCATTCCAGCAGAGACGTTCCAGACGTGCATCGGCAGCAGCAGCGTTCGACGTAGCTGCCCCAGCAAGATCCCAAAGTCATTTCCTGTCCGGCCCAATCTGAATAGCTGAGCGTGACGTGTTATTGAAGCGTCACGCTTAAAGGAAACCAGACCTGGTATGTTCATTTAGCGATGTGCCGCTTCCAGGACGCATCAATGTGCCACTGCGTTCCTGGTGGAAACATACGTATCCATCGACTACGACGTGCTTCTTACGCCACCAGGGTCAGGTTCCTTTTTCTAAAACAAGACTTGACTCAAATCTTTTCCAGTTTGAATAATAAGATAATAAAAGAGAAAATACACTGACAGCTTGTTTTATAGTACGTTGTCCTTTAGGTTGACCTCTGACCTCATTATTATAATAATTTTTTATCTGACGCCCAGAACGTTCGTTTAAACCTGCGGTGCTCGTTTTGTCCAGTAGAAGTTCCATTCTTCTTCCTTGTCGGTCTTCATTTAAACTGGTTTTCCAGAGTGTTGCTGCGAAGCTTCACTGGAAAGAGATAAACGTCCCAAAATAGACGAGATGAGCGGAGATAGAAACAGGGTCGACCCGCTGGACACGTGTCCCTTTGTCTTAGCCGTGTTGTTGTGAAACGCGCCGCCACTTCCTGCTCGTCTTTCCTTCCAAGGAAAACCCTCAAAAGTCTCCATGAACTCAAAATGGACACTTGTTTTTTAAGTGGCTCCTTTTTTTGTTCTTGCTTTAAACCTCTGCGCTGTCGGTTGGTAATTAATGTTTTAGTTATCAGACGCAAACACACTTCCTTTGGGACCGTTTACGTCGGATTAGAGGACATTTAAGTTACTCTTGTTTTCTAAACTCAGGTCAGTGTCTCCTCGAACCGAGGCCGCGCTGATATGACAGTCAAGCTGGCGTCAGAGGGCGCGCACACACACACACACACACACACACACACACACACACACACACACACAAGTTTCTACTGAATCCGATGTCTGGTAGTTCTGATTCTTGTGTGCTTTTGGCCTTCACGCTCTGTTTTTATTACTACTTTTTACCGTTTTATATTTCCTATGTTGTGCAGCACCCTGTGGCTTTTGCCTGTGAAAGGTGCGATAGAGATAAAGATGACTTACTGGCTTTAACCGGGCTTTCGGACCCGAGACTTCGCCCCAGAGTCACAGCCTCTCACACACGGAGCAGACATCCTAGACCACATCACTCCCCGCTCACGCTG